TTTTACAGTATTTTTTCAAATTTTTCTTGCAAAACATTGTCTCAAGATAACAAATATATAAAACGAGTACTAAGTGCTTTTACTTTAAAAATATACCGATTTCAAAAAAATGGCGATCTCAAAATTGCAGCCTAATACATCGAAATTTCGCTTATTCTTGATTCTCTGTTTGTATTCTCTACCGACAAATTTTTTTCATTGCATTGGGTTTTTCTAGATCACTGATTGTAATTTGGTTGTTGGAATGTCAACAACAATAAAAATTAAACAAATTGGTAATTGTTTAATTTTTTGCTCGTCATATCGGATGAACTATTTTTAATTTTTAAAATTTGACTTTAAATTTAGAATCAGCGACCCAAAAAACACTTATACCGATTTTTATGTAAATTAACAATTTTTTTCATTTCTTGACCCGCCATTTTGAATGTTGACATTCCAACATCAAATTTACAATCAGTGAACAATTGAATTTATAATCTTAAAGAACCCAATTCAATGAAAAGAAGTTGTTAGTAGAAAATACAAACTGAGAATAAAAAAATAAGCGTAATTTTTATGTATTAGGCTGCAATTTTGAGACTGCCATTATTATTTTGAAAAAAACCACCGATATATTTTTAAAGTAAAAGTACTTAATGCACGCTTTATATAATTGTTATCCTGAGAAAACAGTGTTTTGCAGGAAAAATTTCAAATAATTTTATAAAATTACTGTAAAAGTTGTGATTTTTTAAATTTAAATCTTAAAAGACTAATATTAAATAACATTTTTTAGTATTTTACGGTTCAGAATCGGAAAGAGCACACCCAAAAATACTAGGGCAAGTCTTTTCACAAAAGAAGTTATTGCATTTTCATTGAGTTATAGGCGTTCAAAAATATTTAAAAAATTTTGTATTTGGGCGTTAATGGGTTAAGCACGGTGGGCAATTGAATAATAGACAATTGAATGGTCGGCAATTGAACGGTAGACAATTGAACAGTGGGCAATTAAATGGTAGGCAATTGAACAGTGGTAAACTGAACGGTGGGCAATTGACCGATGTCCAAATGAATGATGAGCAATTGAACAGTGTCAAAATGAACGGTATGCATCTTTCTGTGTCCAAGTGAACGGTGCGCAACTTTCCGTGTCCAAATGAACGGTGGGCAATTGAACGGTGTCCAACTGAACAGTGTCCAACTTAATGGTGGTCAATTGAACGGTGTACATCTTTCTGGGTACAAATAAACGGTAGGTAATTAAACGATATCCAAACAAATGGTGAGCAATTGAACAGTGGGCATTTTCTCGCGTGTCTAAAAGCAACTGTGTTTAATTAAACTGTGTGTAAAATTTCATGTCCATTTGCAACGTGTCCAATTATACTGTGTCCAAGTGCATTGCTCCCATCGATTGAACTTATTTAGAACCTTATTGGTTTAACCGTTATGGTCGTACGATAAATTTTGTCTGCGTTCTACTAGTTACTTCGCGTAAATATACACGGCCTGTGCATCACCGCTTCGCCCTCGCATGCGCTTGGCGCGTGACATCGTGTCTTTTGATTGATGAACTATTGCTATGTGTACAGTAAACAGTTTTTTATAATGTGACTTCTGAAGGCATTCTGACATCTCTTCCAGGAAATTGGAATAACATTTAATATAAGAGTAATAACAAAAGTATAATAATGTTACTTTTAGGGAATAAAATATTAGATTTGTTTCGTAATAATACTTACACTAATAAAAATAATACCAGAAAATAGTAGCCCCATTGCACTACATCCTACTGTTGTTAGCACTAAAAAACGAACGGCATACGTTACATCACTTGCGTATCTGAAATTTTATAACATATGTTATAAAATTGATCAAAGTAAACTGTAATATCATAAAACAAATAATAGAATTAATTTTATTTGTAAAATTTATTATCATACCGTAATGTTTGCTGGTGTCTATGAATGCACAGTATCAGTTCGTAAATATTAGAAATCGCTCGTAATTTGTTAGACAATATATCGAACTTAGCCGTCGCATACCAAAGCAATAGTGCAGTAAAAACATTGTTACATAATTGTGATGCAATCTGTATTCCGGTGTAACTTTGTTGTACAAAAATGATGGTTTTTAAAGGTTGATGCTGTATATTAAATGGATATTTAGCATGTGTTGGGAATGTATCTGCTGAAAATAATGGATTGCAGATAGTAACAAACGCCGATAAAAAGAACCATATAATTATCGCAGCATACAAAATTGCGTATCTATCGACGTATTGTTGCAAAATATCTTTCTCGTATCCTTTAGCGTGTTTACAGTGGCTTTCCATTTCAATGATTAACATCTGCAATATAATATATTAATATAATACAATATTTTATAACTATAAAACAACTAAATTCAAGAAAATTTACATTAAAGAGCAAGTTTGTATATTTCATTGTAAATTTGTATTGTTGCATTTTAATAATAAATACAACAGAGCCTTGTCATAAATCTTTCTATCTCACAAAGAACACTAGGCAACTCAAAAATTCAAAAAATTCTGAAACTTTGTATGCAAGTGAAGTAGTTCATCCGTAACACAAAACTATGTTTTGTTTGTGCAGAATTACAATTTTAGGGGTGTGACACCCCTTTGAAAAAAATCGGTTTTTTTTTTTAAACGAATATCGTCGAAGTTATAAGAGATAGAAAAAATTTTCCAGATAGAAAATTGAATTATTTCAAGAGTACTTTAGAACTAAAGTAACAAAATGTTTTAATTGTTTATTTATTGCATACCCCCAACCTCACCCATATTTTTAAAAAATTTTAAATTCTTATATAACAGAAATTAAAAAGCATTTTACGCTGAAAACGACGATGTATATTATAATTATGTTCCGAAAAACCATTTTCCAAATATTGTAACGGGGTGACCCCGCGGTGCTATATCTAGATCGACTCGCTGGTGTCCAGGTTCGTGAAGATAGATAGCAGAGCGAAGGGCAAACAACGAGAAGAGTAAATTCGGTTTTTACTCGGTGCTTTATTATTATTCTTAAATCACTTTTTACAAGTGTATGTACAGTAAGGTATCCCCGTTGGGGATATACCCATAGTATAATATCGGGCTGTTACAAGGGGTCTGGAGGAGGCGGTGTATCCTTTCGGATGGGTCGCACCGGATCCCGTCTCTAGTGGCGGTGAATAGTACCCACCTTCCGACCCGTCGTCAGGATCGGCGTATCTCCATGTAGTGATCGGCCGTCGATCTCCGGGCTGTCGAGAGTAGTGCATCGAAAATGTTACGACCAGCGACCGAATCTTACAAGGAAAGGACGGCAGTTGTGGGTCACGGAATTAAAGTAGGTTTTAATAATATATAGTACAGATAAAGAAGTATATTTGAGCAAAGTGAGAGAATACCATATTCAGCCATTTCGGAGAAAAAACGAGACCAAAAATGTAGTATCGCTTATATAGGGTGCCCTAAAACCACCGGAATTGCTCTTAATGGTAGATTCCTTACAATATTTT